CAGAGTGATGTCATGACATCAGTCAAGACTAGTGACCGATGTCATGTTATCAGTCAAGACTAGTTACTGATGTCATGTTATCAGTAAAGACTAGTTACTGATGTCATGTTATCAGTTAAGACTAGTTACTGATGTCATGTTATTAGTTAAGACTAGTAACCAATTTCAAGTTCTCAGTCAAGACTAGTTGCAGGTATCATGTTATCAGTCAAGACTAGTTACAGTGTGACGTCATCACATCAGTCAAGACTAGTTGCAGAGTGACGTCATGACATCAGTCAAGACTAGTGACCGATGTCATGTTATCAGTAAAGACTAGTTACTGATGTCATGTTATCAGTAAAGACTAGTAACCGATGTCAAGTTATCAGTCAAGACTAGTTACAGACGTCATGTTATCAGTTAAGACTAGTCACAGACGTCATGTTATCAGTTAAGACTAGTCACAGACGTCATGTTATCAGTTAAGACTAGTTACAGACGTCATGTTATCAGGCAAGACTAGTTACAGATGTCATGTTATCAGTCAAGACTAGTTACAGACGTCATGTTATCAGTTAAGACTAGTGACCGATGTCAAGTTATCAGTCAAGACTAGTTACAGACATCATGTTATCAGTTACAGACCTCATGTTATCAGTCAAGACTAAACTCTTTCTCCCACACTTCACACACACAATCCTATTTTGCTTGAGAACAGATAAACCTGTATTTACCTACCTAGAACAAGACAGCTTACACTTGCTATCATTCTGAAAATGTCACCATCGTGTTATAGCTTTATGCAGCGTAACTAAGGTCACATCATCAATTTTGTCATACATTTCATTCACCCTTGTTGATGGTGAGGTGCATTGGGTTTATCAACTTATTCTTATGGTAGGAAAGTGTTAAACAAAAATCATTCATCATTCCTGTGTGATTTAGACAGAGAAATGTCAACTCACAGGATACGATTTGTGCAGTTTATCACTCGGCAAAGCCTTGTGTTAAGCTTCTAAAATCTTGCCCTCAAGTTATGATTTCTCTGCCGATATCACAAATGTGATAAATTGGAATAGTGGTCATGTTATCAGTTAGAACTGATTACTATACAAGACTGTTCAGAACTCTTCTTGTTAGGAGTTTTTTTTCTTCAGTAAGGTAGCATGCTTCCTTAACTTTTAAAGTTCCAGTCTACTCCAGATCCAGACCAACTCACCAATGCATACCATATGTGCTAGTATTCGTTGAAGTAATAATGTGAAGAACACGACGTTATTGTCACTGAAATAATGACAATCACCGACTTGATCTATGTCGGTTCTGAAAAGTTCACCGACTTGATCTATGACAGGGCTCGGAAAAGTTCACTGGCTTGATCTATGACAGGGCTCGGAAAAGTTCACTGACTTGATCTATGACAGGGCTCGGAAAAGTTTGTTTACTCATCACATTTGTCTGTATGGAAATGCTTTATTTTTTCATGACTTGATTAAGCTACAGAGGAACCCAGGTAATCCACACTCGTTACATTCCAAAAAAATGTCTGAACACCAGTATTCAGATAAACTTTTCTATTTTTGTGTGATTTTAAAACCGAGTGGCTATCTAAAAACTGAAACTGCCCAAGTACCGCTTTAGTCCATTGTGATTAGGTAACCTTCAGTGTTCAATGCTCAACAGTGATGTTGGCATAATTATTAGTTAACCCACAGTTTCTAGAAAATGAGACTCAAACGTTTCGATGTTTAATTGGAATGTGGGTTCATTGTATTGGTATTGATAAACAAGCGTAAATCCATCCATTTGTTTACATGTCAACATTTTTGAATGTCTATTTCTATATCAACATTCCATAAATGTGATGTCTTTCATTATTTTAACATATCTAATAATCAAAGGTTGATTAAGTAGGATTTTTAAACAAACGTTAATGTTCGTTTGTTAGAATCATGTTAGCAATGTGTAGCTTTGCGATGAACTCATTTCTCCTCACTGCCCCTTGGTGTCGACTTTATCATACATTAATAAACAAAGTGTAAAACTAGTACACCACAGCCAATGATAATAATGGGCTCCAATGGTAGTCCTTTTACACGACACAGAATCACTTTTACCTCCATTTTCTTGATATTTCAGCCGTTCCATACTAAAACTGTAGTTCTACCATCAGTAATATATTTTCCATAAACATTAAGTCAAGAATGTCAAAATAGGAGATGGCAGATCATCACCTGTTAGAGATCCTCTGTGGGTCTGATAATAACAATATATTTGTGATCCATTTTCATCAAAATAGAGAAGTGGGAAATAAACTTAGTTCAGGTGGGGAACAAGAAATAAGATAGACAATATGGGTTAGTTTTTTTTAGAAATATCTTGTATGTTTAAGACCGTATTTCAATATGTACTTGTGAAGGAGATTGTTGTATTGTTATTGTTGTATTGTTATTGTTGAGATTCCTTTTACCATGTTAATTGACATTTTAACATGAAAGACAAATTTCTCACATCAGTCCATATTCTGTTTGTTCACCATTTTCAAATCAACAATTGCTTCTCCACTGATGATTTATGGAAGAAAGATTAAAAAGGATGTGAATCCAATTATCTTGTGTTCTAGTACTGATAGTATACCAGGTATCTACATTGATCTGTATCACTGATAGTATACCAGGTATCTACATTGATCTGTATCACTGATAGTAAACCAGGTATCTAAATGGATCTGTATCACTGATAGTATACCAGGTATTTACATCACTGATAGTATACCAGGTATCTACATTGATCTGTTTCACTGATAGTATACCAGGTATCTACAACACTGATAGAATACCAGGTATCTACATTGATCTGTATCAATGATAGTAAACCAGGTATCTACATCGATCTGTATCACTGATAGTATACCCGGTATCTACATTGATCTGTATCACTGAAAGTATACCAGGTATCTACATTGATCTGTATCTCTGATAGTAAATCAGGTATCTACATTGATCTGTATCAATGATAGTAAACCAGGTATCTACATTGATCTGTATCACTGATAGTATACCAGGTATCTACATTGATCTGTTTCACTGATAGTATACCAGGTATCTACATCACTGATAGAATACCAGGTATCTACATTGATCTGTATCACTCATAGAATACCAGGTATCTACATCGATCTGTATCCCTGATAGTAAACCAGGTATCTACATCGATCTGTATCCCTGATAGTAAACCAGGTATCTACATTGAGCTGTATCACTGATAGAAAACCAGGTATCTACATCGATCTGTATCACTGATAGAATCCCAGGTATCTACATTGAGCTGTATCACTGATAGAACACCAGGTATCTACATTGAGCTGTATCACTGATAGAACACCAGGTATCTACATTGAGCTGTATCACTGATAGAACACCAGGTATCTACATTGATATGTATCACTGATAGTAAACTAGGTAGCTACATCGATCTGTATCACGGATAGTAAACCAGGTATCTACATCGATCTGTATAACTGATAGTAAACCAGGTATCTACATTGAGCTGTATCACTGATAGAATACCAGGGATCTACATTGATCTGTATTACTGATAGAATGCCAGGTATCTACATTGAGCTGTATCACTGATAGAACACCAGGTATCTACATTGAGCTGTATCACTGATAGAACACCAGGTATCTACATTGATCTGTATCACTGATAGTAAACCAGGTATCTACATTGATCAGTATCACTGATAGTAAACTAGGTATCTACATCGATCTGTATCACTGATAGTAAACCAGGTATCTACATTGATCTGTATCACTGATAGAATACCAGGTATCTACATTGATCTGTATCACTGATAGTAACCATCTGTATCACATCTAAACATCACATCATGTGGAATATTATGTGTCATATGATGTTACCCATGTCTTGATTATACTTCTACATAACATAACATGTTTGTTGACATAACATCAGACAGTTATGACATCACAAAACCTTACACATGACTTCACAAGATGTCACACACTTGTTCATACATATCATTATGTATTATCTTTTAGTCATGTGTAAGTCATTACACACGACTTAACACAACATTACACATGACTTAACACAACATTACACAACATTACACATTACTTTACACAATATTACACATTACTTCACACAACATTACACATTACTTTACACAATATTACACATTACTTTACACAACATTACACATTACTTTACACA